ATCACGCTTCATCCCAGCTGGGGTCGTGATGGGTGCCGGTGCCAATCTCCAGCTGTCTATGGGCGAGAGGCGGGGTTCACCCTGGAAGGGTCACCAGTCCATCACAGGGAAACACAGAGACACACAGGACAAACAACTTTTCACGCACACACTCACAGCTAAGGAGAATTTAGAGAAGCCAGTTAACATAACAGTCATGTTTTTGGACTGTGGGAGGAAGCTGGAGTACCCAGAGAGAACCCACGCATTCTCAGCAACAACATACAAACTCACTGGAAAAAATCGAAATATAGATGAGTCCTTTTTTCTTAAAATAAGTGCATTTGTTCTTGGATTGAGGAGATAAAACGAGGCAATTTACACTTAAAATAAGAAAACACAATTGCATTGTCTTATTTCATGTGCATATTATCTAATTATCTTATTTTAGGGTTAAAAATACTCATTCCATTGGCAAACTATCTCATTTACCTACTCAAATTTAGTGTAAATACACTTAATTTAAGACATTTTTTTTACTTATTTCTAGATCGTTTTTTCCAGTGTGCAGAAAGACCGAGTCCAGAAATCAAACCCGAAACCTTCTTGCTGCAAGGCAGCAGTGCTACCCACTGCTCCACTGAGCAGCCCAAAATTAATTTAATCATTTTTCAGGTGGCAGTGGGTCATATGTTGGATGAAACTGGTTGATTTGTATGTTGGATTGTTTTAGTTTTTGCTTCTCCTTCGACACTATAAGAAACGGAAATGTAAATTTTTCTTAAAATATGGGATTTTTTTCTTCAATTAAGCTGGTAACTGAGCCGCTTCGCCAATGGAACAAGACAATTTACAATAAAAACAAGAAGGGACAAGTGCAGTCTCTTATTTCCAGTCCGTGATATCTAATTATTTTATTTTAGGAGTAAACTTACTCCTTATATTGGGAGATCTCATTATCTACTTTCTCAAATTAAGGGTAAATACACTTATTTTAAGAATTGTTCACTTATTTTTAGATAGTTTTTTTTTGTGGTTGGAAACAAAATGGTTCCTTTGGTTGTCATTGAAAAAGAGTCTTCTATAAGTTTTAGTGGATCAAAGAATTGGCTGTGACTCCATCCCTGAGAGAAATATCAGCTGTGCTGCTTCCATCAAAACCTTTGTTTAAAGATGCTGGAGATTGGCCTGTTTTTCAGTGTAGTCCTGTTTCTCTGACTGTCCCTGGGTGGACAGTCAGTCTGTGTATTTCCTGGACGGGGGCCGCCTTTTACAGCTGCTTTTTCTATGTCTGCTTCCGTCTCCTTGAACCCCAGTCGGCCTCAGCAGATGGCCGCTCACACTGAGCCTGGTTCTGCTGGAGGTTTCTTCCTGTTCAAAGGGAGTTTTTCCTCTCCACTGTTGCTACAAGCATGCTTAGTGTGAGGGATTGCTGAAGAGTCAATGAGTCGATGCAATCAGCTGGTTTTCCTTAGATAGAAAACTTTGAATCAATTTGACTGGATGATCTGGTTGAACTGGAAAGTGCCTCGAGATGACGTGTTGTGAATTGGAGCTATAGAAATAAACTGAATTGAATTTAATTGAATTCTTAGCAGGAGAATGTTTAATGGCCAAGCACCTAAAAGTCCAAGAATATGCCAAGGAATACTTGATACGCCATCATGTCTCGTCTCCTGTCCGCATTCAGTCTCCATGGTAACCAACTGGCCCATAAAGGGGAGGCAGCCTCAGTTACTTCTGTGGCCACAACCGAAGGTGTACGTCAGCTTCAGGATATTGGTACAGCAGGATGGAACGATGTTAGCTCCATCTGCAACCCTACACTGATCAACTTTAGAGCTCAACTCAAACTATGGATGAAAACAAACCAGTCATGTGACCACTTAACATTTCCTTGTGATTCTTATATTGTATATTTTATGTTCTTTCTTATGTATTTGCCTGCCTAGGGACTACGGATGAAAACTAGCTTTGTAGTTATAATCCGGCATATTTACATTTGTTTTTATACTGATGTTCATTAATTTGCTTTGTCGTTGTGGTTGATGATTCAAGCTTCTGTCCCTTTGAAAGCTTTTCTACAAAGAAACATAAATTCTTCAGGATGGCTGAAGCCTATCAATCTTTTCTTCCTTGGTTTACTTCAGTGCAACACATCCAGCATGTCAGTTGATGCAATGCATGACTACTGTTGTTGCTTTCCCTTCACTTGCAGGTACGTAAGTAGATCCTTGTGCAATTTCAGCGACCTACCAGATGTCATCAATAAATTGTATCTCAAAGAATGATTAAGTCATGATGAAGCAGTAGTGCAGTCGTTGCCAGCTTCTGGTCAGAGCACGCCACGTTCTTTGCATCTTTACTGATCAGCAGTTTGCCTTGCAGCCTCTCAAACACTGGAAGCCTCTTAGTTAACAACATTTTAATATCCCATGGAAACCCTCTATTGTGGTGCAAACAGTCAGAGCTCTTCTCAAGGATGTCCTAAAAATAGAGACGATATTGACCTAGAGATCTGAAAAGGAAACACTGAGACTGAGCTGCATTGTGCTTGTCTTTCTATTAGGAGTTAACGTTTCAAAACAACGATAAATCTACAAACTTGTATATTAGTTGAGCATTCTACTGTTCTCCCCTGTATCTCTTTATACATGCATCTTGTTGGTAGTTTGCATAACTGCAACATCTATGAACAATAGTATGAGGACAGCTTTCTCATGAAATGTTTTAATATGAACAAATAAAATTTAAATTGCACATTAATAGATTTGTTCACATGAAAACTGAAAAAAATGGCAGTGCCAGATGTAAACACATGATATATATCCATATTTTAGCTACAGCTCGAGCGCTCATTTTAAACTCTTACATTTAATTTAGAATTAATTTTTGTAGAATTTTACTGAAAGTAAAAAATACTCCTCTCACGGATCTAAATCTGCCACATCATCATCCTCAATCTACTTCCCGTCTTCCTCGTCGTGTTTTTGCAAGGCAGTACACTGGAAAAACGATCTAGAAATAAAGAGAATTTTCTTAAATTAAGTTTATTTACCCTTAATTTGAGTAGGTAAATGAGGTAGTTTGCCAATGGAATGAGTATTTTTACTCTTAAAATAAGATAATTAGATAAAAATGCACTTGAAATAAGACAATGCAATTGTTCCTATTTTAAGAGTAAATTGTCTTGTTCCATTGGCAAAATGTCCCTTTTAACTCCTCAATCCAAGAACAAATGCATTTATTTTAAGAAAAAATGACTTATCTAGATTTGGATTTTTTACAGTGTATGGTCCAGTTGCAGATCATGTGACTCATGTGACGCGAGAAAAGTGTTTCCATTACAGTTTCGTGAAATATAAGTATTTCAACGCAACTGAAAAAAAACCCCAATTGAAGCGCAAAAACCTCTTAAAGTTATTTTAATTTCGCAATATTTCACTTTTTCCACTTAGCAATTTTATTTTTAGAATTACAATATGCATTATTTGATGGTTTTACGGAGACGCAGCTAGTAAAGTTTTTAGAACATTAAGGGAAGCTGGACAGAGCTGTAGCCAGAAATCCTAATGGGGGGGCCAGTCAGTAACCTTTGAGAGGTGGCGGAAAGGCGCCAGAACCTCAGGGTCAATCTACGCTGTTCCAACAGGAACAAGCACAACATCCATATTTATATTTATTTATTATCTTTTTTTTTAAGAGTGTCATGTCTGGCAATGTGGCAATAAGAGTCTTGATGCCAAAAAGAGCCCAACAGATTTTACTTTCACAAGTGTAGCAGTACGGCAATTGCCATATTGCTCCACTTGTTCCATGCATATAAATTGCTTTATTATAATTATGCAGCGAGTTTTACAGTTTATATGGACACTGCAATGTAAATAGAGCAGAAAAACAGAAGAAGAAAAGAAAAAAAAAGAGAGAAGATGTAAGAAAGAAGAGATAGAAAGGAGACAATGACAAAACATTTTCAGTAATTTATTCATTATCTAAATAAAAGCTAACTATACTTTCCTACAGCCTTTGCTAACAAATAGATGCATATATTTAAACATCTATGCTGTGTAAATAAAAGGTATAGTGGACAAAATTTTTTTTAGGTTTGAATTCTGGGGCGAACATATTTGATATTGTCATTAACGAGTTTTATCAATAATCATTCAGCAAAAAATTTATATTTAAAAATATTAATATCCACATTTAATTAATTTCTAAGGTTTTATTAAAGTAGTTATTTATTTATAATTTCACTGAAGACTCCTAGATGACTTGCAGACACATCATTTTATCTTTACTCCATATAACACAAAATCCACTTCTGAAAAGAGCATGAACTCTGTATTTATCATCTTTACAGTTTGTATATAGATGTGCATAATTAACAACAGTGTTTCTGTTATAAAGTAATTTTTGATATATGAAGATTTTAAATGTTTAATAAGTTTGAACTTTCCCCTTCAAAGTATTACTGCTGCCACCATCTGGCCAATGATTGGCTAAGGGTGGCCATAGCCACCCCTGGCCCCCCATCTAGCTCCGCCACTGAAGCTGGAGTACCTGCAGAGAATCTTCACATGCACAGCGAGAAGATGTAGGAAAAACCCTACCCTGGGAATTGAACCAGGGACTCCTTTTTCCAGCTTTTATTGGCGTTGCACTGTCACAAGTACAGGGCAACAAAATTCACTCTCTGCATTTTAACCCCTCCCCTTGGAGAGCAGTGGGCTGCCATTGTGCAGCTCCTGGGCAGCAGTGTGGGGTTAAGGGTCTTGCTCAGGGTCCCAGAGTGGCAGTCTGTGGGAGTGGAGCTTGAACTCAGAACCCCAGGTTTCCAAGCTGTATGCCCTAACCACAAGGCCGCCTCTACCCCACTTTTGCTGCTGCAGTTAAAACTTTATCAGACCTGCAGTCGATATCAGACAGATCTAATTCGGTTTGAGTGACCTCAGCATAGTACTGATGACCTGACACCTATATTGTAATATTATGGACTAATGTGTACAATCTCTGTTTTACAGCGTGGATACTCTTCTTTCTAATAGAGGAGGGCTTTTCACTGGCACAGAGAAATAAAGGTGAGCTAATGAACACTGCTTTGCATGTTAGAAGTGACTTCTATTATAACGAAGCTGCAAAGTGCCAAATATGCCACTTTTCCTCAACAATTATTTTGAAATAGGTATTACTAATCTTAAAAGACATGATTGGATGTAGAAATATGATAAAATCCTTATTATGAATAATCCAGGAAATGAACCTGGAGTTATGCCTGATGAAACAGATACTGACATCTGATTGGTTTAGCTTCAGATCAATTATATTAAACCTATTTCAGTTCACTTTAGTTTTATTTTGGTCGTCAGATATTTAAAAACATATCTCAGTGCAGTACAATGCATGCCTTTTAAATGATGGACACCAATCAAAAAGGTTTTGGCAAAAGTAAAACTTATGAAAGCCTTTCCTTTTATACCTGCTTAGAGCAAGTATATGTTATAGTATAGTTATTTATAGTTATTTTCTTAGTTTGTGTTCCCTGATTTTTCTATGTATTCATAAGGAAATGGGTTATTGATGTCTTTTATTGTAGAGATTATCCATTACTGAATCACTACAAAAATTATTTATTTATAAATAGAAGTATTTATTTATTCTTCTTTTTTTTATATATATATATATATGTGTCTATAATTTTGGATTTAAGCAACTCTTTTTAATGTTTTTAAGGAGGTGCAGCCTTTTAATTCATCATCCAGGCGGTTCCATAAATTTGCTCCTAGAATATTTTATCTTATTTTAGTTCCTCCTAAATGTACAGAAAAGGATTAGGGCCAGTGGAAAAAAAAAAAAAAAAGTTAACTGGTTTTTAAATTTTATTTCAGTTTAGTATGGGAAAAAAGTCAGAATTCTGACTTTAATCTCAGAATTTTGACTGTAGCTGCCATCAGAGTCAACTCATTTAAATATTCTAATATTTAGTTAAAAACGAGAGTTAATACATAATAGTATTGAAATTAAAAGTTAAATCATAAATAAATACTACTAATAAACTTTCAGTAAATTTATGTTTATGTACGTTGGTTAAAAAGCTCTTTAAAATGTAAGGAGGAACCTATGTTTTTTGTTCCGCATTTCACGTTGTTGCCCATGGGAAGATTGATTGACACAATTCTTTTTTTTTGCACCTGTTTCTTCAAGAAGTTTCACCAGAAAGCTTTAAGCCTGGTTTTCTGAGAAAAGCTGTATAAATAATCTTTATTCCTCTGGAGTTTATGCGGCCAATGAGGTACGACTTTGTTTTAATTATTTATTTGTGTAAACCTTTATAATTGTTTTGAGCTAATTTGGGTTCTATTTCCCTTCTTACTGACGGCATTTTTGGGGGCTTTATAAGACGTGTCCACAATAAATGGTTGTTAAAACCAAAAGAACGATGTTGAGCCTTGATTATCTCTAGAGGAGTAACACTGACTTTAATCTCAGAATTCGGACTGAATTCTGACAATAAAAAAAGTCAGAATTCTAAGATTAAAGTCAGAGTTCTGAGAAAAAAGTCAGAATTCTGAGATTAAAGTCAGAGTTCTGAGAAAAAAGTCAGAATTCTGAGATTAAAGTCAGAGTTCTGAGAAAAAAGTCAGAATTCTGACTTTTTCCCCACGTTAAACTGAAATAAAATTTAAAAATCAGTTAACTTTTTTTTTTCAGTGGCCCTAATCCTCTCCCATATAAATGATATTGACTGGATACCCTGTGGAAGTTTGCAACAGGGTAGCAGTATTAGCAGAATTAGCCTCACCTCCAGTTTTAGGGCCAAATAGAACCCCAATGATCAAATAATAGATATTTTTTGTTAATGATTTTTTTATGAATGTATTAAAATACATTTATAAACTAATTCATTATATTTAAAAAGAAGTTTTCTATCTATTTCAGATTTGAATGAATTGTGGCACATTTTGTACCTCGATAGAAATTCGATCTTCTTCCAATTTTGTTCCATTCCTGCTCTTTTTCTCCTCCTGCTCTCCCTTCCTCTGTCGCTCTGCTCTGTAATCATTACCACATTGATCTACTGATTCAATAACCCTTCTCCTCCCCCCCTCCTCCCGCTCTCTCTCCCTCTCTGCCCTCAGATTTCCCGGGTGACCCTGGCGGCCAGAGCCCCAGCCAGAGCGACTGCGGCACGTGGGTCCGCAACATCAATGGAGGGGTGTTCATGTCACCGAACTACCCCAACACCTACCCACCCAACAAGGAGTGTGTTTACATCCTGGAAGGTAATCCCTTTAGCCATTTTCTGCTCTGCTGCATCACTTTCCCTTCCTTTTAGGAAAGGCCGTCAGCCCAGCTGACATTTATTTAACCTCCCGCTGATCTGATATTCCTTTCTGTCATAGAGCAATGAGCTTTATATATTTCTATTTTTGGAGCCTTTCTGAGTTTGTGTCATTGCCCTATAGCCCTTTGAATAATGATAAAGAGCTATCTCTCCATACCCCGGCTTCTTGCCTGCCTAGAGCTCTCCCCTTTCGTCTCTATGCTCAGGATGTGCCAGAAGATTTGCTTATTGAAGAGCACATAAAAGAGTCGAACATCTGGTGCAGAACTGGGCTTTAGTGGCTCATCACTGAATTGTTAGCATCCTCGTCAGCTTTAGTGCTCACTCAAATATCCCATCAATCAGTGATTTGGAGGCACATAGGAAGCATAATGGAAAAGATCATTAGCAGCTATAGGAGATGGGGTCTGGGTGATGCGTTTTTTTGGAGCTGATGAACTGTTTGTCTGTCATGCTGAAGCACAGCTCTTCATGCAGATGAGATGTGTGCACTCCTCCCTCTACAGCGGGGGAATTGATCTCACGCACGGCTCAAGTGCTCCACCTGTGGACGAACCAGGCCCAGACCTGCTTGTGCCGGAAGAGCTTTGACTTTTGTCACAGCTTCAGTTTTCTGGTTCATCACAGAGGGCCTGGCGCCCTGCAGATCGGACCGATCGTTTCCTACAAAGGCCTCTGTTAATCTGTTAATGTTTGATTTGTAATCATAATTTGTGGTTAGTGAGCCTCATTGATTGTGTCATGTCCCCAAGTTCATCAGCTAAATAGATTAGGTGATTATATATTCTGCGCTTTCTGTTTTAAGCTCTGTCATTATTTTTGTGTGAGTTATGCAGAGAGAAGGGGAGTGGGCATGCTCAGGCGTACACGCTGCTTCTTCAAGCAAAAGAAACTAAAGAAAATCACTACAGTAATTTGGCCGCAATTTCATAGTAAAACCATTCTTGACTCCACTCTTTGTCCTCCTTTTTCTGGGCATGCATATGCCTCTTCAATCCCACCTTGCTGCAGAAAGTCTCCCCTTAATCCCCGTCATCCTTGAATCATCCTCCGTGGCAGGGCATCAGCTGCCCCCAGCCCTCTGTTTCTGGGGTGGAAATGGCTTTAGAGCGCCGCTTCCTTTCAGAACACAGACGTGCGGATTTGCTTGAACCGCTGAACTTCAGATCAGAGTCAGAGACGTCGCCTCGGAGATGTCAGGGTGTCTGCGTGTGTGTGTCTACTTTTACGTCCAGCCGAGTGAGAGCATGTTTCTTTTTCACTTTACCAATAAAATTATAAATTTGATGTGCAGTGAGATCTTTCTTCTAGTACAAACGTTTTTTGGGCTAGAGGTTTGATTTAGCGCTGCAGTGTGATTCAGGTTTATATCTGACAGTTATCTGTATTCACACCCGTTTACTGTGATACAGAATCTGATATAAATCAGTGCAAATTTCCTTCAAAGTCGCCGATGCTGTAAATTAAGTCTGCATGTAGGTAATATTTTCTAAGTGTACATTTCTGTAAAGCGGCTTCTGTCTGCTTGAACCCCAGTGGGCCTCAGCAGATGGCCGCTCACACTGAGTCTGGTTCTGCTGGAGGTTTCTTCCTGTTCAAAGGGAGTTTTTCCTCTCCACTGTCGCTACAAGCATGCTTAGTGTGAGGGATTGTATTTGAGTCAATGAGTCGATGCAATAAACTGGTTTTCCTTAGATAGAAAACTTTGAATCAATCTGACTGGATGATCTGGTTGAACTGTAAAGTGCCTTGAGATGACATGTGTTGTGAATTTGGCGCTATAGAAATAAACGGAATTGAATTGAATTAAAGACCTCAGAAAACGATATTAGTAAACAAACAGCAACATGTGGACAGACACAATAGCATAACGACAAAACAATAGACCCCTAAGCAACATTATCTCGGGGGTCCCCCATGTGAAGTACCAAGCGATAAAAGTTCAGGATACGGCGACAATTCCATAAATCGGCCAAAAAGAACCAATTATGCAATTTTCAGTAGTATATGATCACACATCACACACGGAAAAATAGTAACTCCACACCTTGAACGGAAGCATCGGTGACAGCGCACCACCACATGTTACAGAATCCGCTTAAGCACCTGTTTTTGGTATCCATCGTCGCTAACACATTGTAGGTAAAGGTTATGGTTTTAATCTACGCTCTGGATTACCCATAATTCCAGGTCGTAGTGTAAAAAATAAAATACTGAAATACATTGTTCTTTTAAGATCTGTATTGCGGTTTGAAACATGTTATATGAGTGGATTTTTTTACCAACCGTCTAATGAACTATACACAGTTATTAACATAGTAATTAAAAGTACCACTTTCTGCTTTGCTATTGGTGTCGCGTTTAACCTCTTACACCCTAAGGGGGTATAAATAAATTTCTGCCTGACAAAAACACACAAAAGTAAATCACTTATAGCCTCACAGCTATTAGATTTAAGAAGAAACTTTTGGTACGTCTGTAAAGGTAAGATGTCATAGAATGGTTTTCTGGTGTCAGCACCATTGTAGCTTTGACCCTGCCTGAAATATTAGGGACAAAATACAAAATAATTTGCATTTTTTGAACCTCGCCAAAATTTTTCTTTGAAATAAACATTGCAAAACACTACCAAAATATTATTTATAGCACAAAAAAGTAGTACAGACTTTTAAATCTAAATGTTGTGTAAAAATATACCAAATTTGGACTCAATCAGATGAATCATATTTATTTTAGAATGGTATTAGTGAGAAATTTCTTAGGCGGAGAGGCCATTTTGGCACATTTATCCATAAATGTCACCAAACTGTGCAGAATGTGTTTTTTACATCAATACTGGGGGTTTGGTAAAATTAAGAGGTCACGTAGCAGCTGGACCCACCGGTGGGTCCGTAGGGTTCTAGGGGTTAAACGGCTCACTATCATGTTGAAATCTGCCATGTGTTGCAGTATAAATACGGTCCGGTCAGTCACTGCAGTATCAGGTGGGTTTAAGAGGAATTTTTCGCACCATTGCATCTGCAAACAGACGTCCTAGTCTACAATTACGTAGGTGGGCCTACCAGCTGACAGTGATGGGGCCCCTAAGAGGTCATGGGCCCTTAAGCAACTGCTGTCTCTGCTTACCGATAGTTACGCCATTAAAAAGGCGAACACATTACAATACAACTTTATGGTGGAGAGTTGGGACAATAAACATCTGATCTGATGAGACCAAAATAACCAATACTAAGGTGGTAAATTATTTACTTCAGGAGGGAGATGTAACCTGGTCAGAGTTGATAAGGATGAAGCTCAAACTAATGCAAACAGAAAAAAAAAAAGATCTATTAAAGACTGATGGAAGATTTGACGTCTCAGCAGAAAAACCAAGAACAAACAGCCAGTAATGCTTCTAATGATAAACTAGAAGTATTGCCAAACGGATCTACGGGTCTAAGCTTTAACTAGACGTTGGTGTATTTATTCTGAACCCGTTTGTAGAGTCTTAAGCTCCAATAAAAGAATAAATAACACCTGATAGAGCCTAAACTCACCAAAACAAGTGATTAAATAAAACTAAAATGTTTCTAGAATATTAAGTTTATCTGATAAATTTGATGCTGAATTATTAACTAATAATTGTGCATATTCATTTGGCCTTTACAATCCTGATATGTCAGAATAAACAAGTTAAAGTTCAGGAGAAAAATTAATTCACAAACCGTAGCAGGATCTGAAACTGACATTTGCTGAAACCCTCCACTGAATCTGAAAGAACCTGAAGCACTTCGCAAATAAGAATGAGCAGCTTTTCTGTGACAAGCTGCTGCAGACACAGCAGCTTCAGATTACCTCTTATTGTTGGTCTCCTAAGCCAAAGTGGAAATGTGTCCGCAGTCGCCAGGATACCTTCTAGGTTAGTGTTGGCCGGGGGAAGGAGGTAGGAAGAGGAAGCATCCTGCTTCCTATTGATAGTTCCTTTAGAATAAGGACCTTCTAACGTTCCTATCTGCTTCTTAGGAGTAATAGGGTTTCCCATAATCCTTTGCATGACAAGATGAAATGGCACTGCCCACCTCACACACTGAAAAAAGGGACTTTTTGGTGCAGTAAACTCTTTTAAAGTATTCGTCAGAATTTCTACTCTGTTTTTTATAAGCATCAATAAAAACTGGATTTTCTGAAGTAATTTTTTAAAATGTAATTCATGAATTTCGGGGAAAGAGTAAATTTTACTTAGATTTCCTTTTACATTTAAATGTTTAACAGCAGTATGTTCATAAACCTAAAAATACTACATAAACTCTAAAAATGTAGTGCTTTAAAACGCATGCATGATGCATGCACACTGTAGCTCACAGTAATCCAGATGTTACAGGATCACACACAGGGCAAGAGGTCATCCGACGACATTTTTTCATTTTGGTAGGGTGCAACAGTACCGCAAAAGCCTACAAAAGGACTGATATATGCCCTGAACTTGGCATACCCTCCCCCCCCATTCGGCGCTAAACTTTTGAAGTCTTCCAAAAACTTTTCCTGGAGTCGGATGGATTTAAACTGTCCCTAAAAGTAAACACCCTAAAGTTGAAGTTGCTTTCCTAAATGCATTCATGATTTTGTCATCTTAGGGTAGGAAAACCTGGCATCAAATGTAAAGAATTAGCAGTGGGTTCCAGTTAATCTTGGTGGAAGGTTGTCTGTCATTAATGTTTTTATTTTTTGACAAATAAGGTATATATTATTTGTCAAAAAATAACTGATACCTTTATTCAAATATCTAGTAGAGATTTTATTCTTTATTGAGAATGGTTAGACAGATACGTCTTATGGAAAGTAATATTTACTTGATACTGGCCAGTGAGTGTTACTTGATATTGTAGCATTTAATTTGACTTAAATCATTTGCATTCAAATACTTAAAATATTTTTTTAAGTAACTCTTATGAGTTTTTT